GATGGGAGGGAGGGTGGCGAGGACTTTCTGAAATTAACTTGTTTCCAGGTTGTAGCAAGAAGCGACAAGATATTGCCGTATTACGTGCTAGACGTAGCCGCGAATGTTCCGGGACTTCCTGGCCTCTTTCTCGCCGGCCTGGTGAGCGCCGGTCTCTCGACGATGAGCGCCGGGCTGAACACAGTCACCGGCACGATTTACGAGGATTTCATCGATCCTTGGATGCCAGAGAGCAACGACAAAGAGACTAAAGCCGCCAACATTATGAAGGTACAAAGGCGGCCACGCGCGGAATATATTACGCGGTCCGAAACCGCGCGGAGAAAACAAGGGGGTTTCTCTCTCGCAGCCTTTCCGCCCGCTTGCCCCCCCCCCCCCCCNCTTCGCGTAATACTATATCGTCGAGATTTGCTCGCCGAACGAATTAAAACGTCGAGAAACAAACGTAAAACAGTGCGTACACGCGGGAAAAAAGCAATTCCTTCGGTGTGGCTGAATTTTCTGTCGTCCGTTCTCTTGAAGCGAATCAGCGATAATGTTTCTGATTAAATCGGTGAAATTTATTCCACCGATATTGGCGAATACTTTCACTGATGTTCAGTGAATACACTCCCTAGTGACGTACGTAAAATTTCACTGCAAAATTTGCAGTATTCCATTGGCTGCTGTTAATTAAATTCTTTCAACGAGATTCCACTTAGCACTTGCGGTGCTATATTTACATAACTAATTATAACTGATCTCAATGTTTTTCGGTGATACTGTACCGTCTCCACTTTAGAGAATAGGGACCAGATAAAACTCGGTTATAAGGACAAAAAGATTCCGGTAGGAGATTTTCGCTCAGTCTATTGTTCTCAGTTATCATTAGAGTTTTAATGAAATTGAAGGTCCCGACGAATATCCTTTAACAGAGATAAGGTGAATGTCACCAATTAGTAAGAATGTAATCTCATCGCGAGAATAAATTAATAAATTGTTATAATAATACACGTGTTAAAAGTACATAACATTTATTTCCTTCGAAAGTTTAAACATTTAAGTTTCTAATTGTAATAGATTAAAAAAATTGTTGATAAAATTTTAATTAATTTACAATATATTTTCCAAAGTAACGGAAGTATCATTTAGTGATATATAACTTTGATTTTGTCTCAATTTGATGTACACCTATATTATAATGTTTCTTATTATAACAGATAATCGAATCGAACATGTCCCGAACCGGATGTTTTCCTCTGTACCATGTGTTACATGAAAAAGAAATTTCAGTTCGTGCAATTGATTATCCGTCACTTGGAGATCAGATAAATCTCGGTTGTAGGAGCAGAAAGCTTCCTGAAATGTTCAATCTATTATTCTTAGTTATCATTAATCGAGTTATGTCACCGAGTTTTCCGTCGGGTTCCTTTTCAGGCTCCTTTATCAGGTTCCACTCGGACTAAGTTTTTTCCGGTATATCATGTGTTACACGAAAAAGAAATCTCACTTCGTGCAACTGATTATCAGTCATTTGGGAAAACAGAATCAGACAGATCTCGGTTGTAAAAAAACAAAAGGCTTTCCGTGGAAGATTTTCACCCAGCCTATTGTTCTTAGTTATCATTAACCGATTTGTAACACAACCGAGTTTCCGACAGGTCCCTTTTTAGATAATCGTGCCAAATTTTTCCCCATGAATCATGCGTTACACGAAAAAGAAGTCTCAGTTCGTGTAACCGATTATCTGTTATCTGAGGACCAGATACAAACTCAGTTATAGAGACAAGAACAAGATCCGGTCAATTGTTTTCAGTAATCTCGCGGTCTCACAATCAGGCTTTAAATCGAGACGTTCAAATTAACATTATCGGAGATGACGGAGAATCCTTTCTATCGGTCAGAGAGTGATTTATCCGACCTCTGTCCGAACGGAGGGTTTTTTTTGCGTCTTTCACAAAAACGCCATCCTGACCTCGTAAACGCGCGAATTTACGGACAGATGCGCATGCGAAGAAAGGTGTGCATCAACGGATTCCAGAGCGAAGCTCTATTGTTTCCTCAGGTCACGGTGGTTATCTTAGGCCTTCTATGCGTCGGCATGGTGTTCCTCGTGGACCGCCTCGGCGATATCTTCCAGCTGTCCCTGACTGTGACCGGCATCACCGCCGGCACCATGCTCGGCCTCTTCTCGTTGGGGATGCTGGTGCCTTGGGCGACTACCAAGGGCGCCGTGATCGGCGGCCTCGTCTCGATGATGATGATGATGTGGATCATCGTCGGCGCGCAATGGCACATGGTCAACCATCGGTTCTCCTATCCGTCGCTTCCCACCACGACCGAGGGTTGCCTGCCTACTTCGACGGGTCTGCTGAATCAGACGGCGAGTACCACCATCGTCCCGACGGTGCAGGACCCGGTGCATATCGAGTCTGCGGGCGAGCCGTTTTTCATATACAGGATATCCTTCATGTACTACACACTGTTGGGAGCTCTGGTTGTGATGGTGATCGGTACGGTGGTCAGCTTCATCTGCGGCGCGCCCGATTTGGGGGATATCGACCGAGATCACTTCCCGCCATTTGTCACCAGGTATCGGCTTCGGCTTTCTCGAAAGTGCTTTATCCGAAACATGGTCAGGATACTCTCCGCTCTTTATCTTCACTCGAGATCTTGAGAAACCTTTTGTGTTTTAAAATTCTTGCAACTATCCTAAAAAAAAGAAAATACTTCACCGTTTTCGCTCCTTGCACGGCCCGTTTTTCGACCGTTTTTCAGCCATTCTGTCACCATACAGTCGTGCGTTTACACGTGTTATTCCAAAATGTGTTGCAGTGTATGCTAAAAATTCAATACAAAAATTTTAACAAGGATCGATTTCAGCACAAATATAAAATATTTCTTACGTCTGTAATCCGCGTATCTCACACATGTGTCATTATCATTTGCAGATTCATGCCTGCGAAAAAATACATGGAAGTGTCGTTGCACACGGTGCCGACCGCGCTGGTGACCAATCTCGAGAAAGAGGAATTGAAGTCTTAAAGTAAGAATATATCTCATCGTGTCTCTCGTCTGTTTCCGCGCCCGTGACGTTACGGGCACGTCTATCACAACGAAAAGGCGTAATGCGCGCTCGACCCAGTTTGCCAAATCGCTCGGTCGCGAGTCCAATGATCTCCGTAACGATATTACACATTCTGTAATCGAATGCATTAGCAGCACTTAAAGATTCCATTGTATAGCGATTGTAAAAAATATTCGGAACGAATTCATATGCGAAGACTGTCTCATCTCGCGGGTTAGTCCGAAACTTCGTGTCGGTATCGACACGAAGGCGCTCGTAGATTCCTGTAAACCACCCGAGAAGGGAAGTGACAATAAATCCCCAATCAATCCACCCAAACAATCGATGAATCTCCCGTAAACTATCGAGATCGATGGCGTTTGACAGGCGAACGGACGCGAACATTTACCGAGAGAAACAAAGAGAGAGAGAGAGAGAGAGAAAGAGGGAGGGAGAGAGAAGGAAGGAGATAACTGCATCTAACTGGCTCGTCCGGAGTTGAAAGCACCCATTAGGATGTCGATGAGGGTGTCAAATTGACTAGATTATATATCTCGCCCCACGCATCTCAATACAAACAAGTCCCCTCCGCGCCCCCGCTCTCTCTCCCCTGCCCCCTCCCCCGGCTGGGGGAACATCTGGAGGAACGATGCCTATCGGATTAAGGCCGAATGTAAATGCCGTGGGAGGTTTTTTGTCGAGTCATTCGTCGAGTCTCTCTTGAAAATCCGCGACGGGTCGCGCCGGAGTCGCGTCATCGCGGCGGAGACTCGTGACAAATTTCGAGAGCCGGGCTCATCGGCTGAGGCCGCGCGACGGGCCTCTCGGCGACTCTCGGTCTGATGAACGGGCGAGGCTACCTTCTCGACGACGAGCCGGCTGCGAGAACCTCTTATCAGCATATAAGATGCGATCGTCGACTCTCTCGACGGCGAAGGAAACCTCGTCCGCGGGAACATTCCACATCCGGCGTAGAAACGGCGCTTCTTCTCGGGCTCTGCGGGCCCCGAGAGCGGCGGCGACTACATTCCATCGCGGACCGTTTTATTTTATTGGACTGAAAGGTGTCAAATATAGGTGGAGGCGAGGGAGGGAGAGAGAGAGAGAGGGTCTCCTCGTCTACTTACATACCGAAGCGCGACCTCGAGGGAGCCATCCTCCCCCCCCCCCCCCCCCCCCCCC